TATTTATTTATTTATTTATTTATTTGGGTGGAGGCGGGCGATAGTGATACAACGTCCCAGCAAGAAAAGAAGACCGTACCGGGTCAGTCAATAAAAATTCTCCCGAAACGACAGTCTAACTCACGTACATGTCATGTCCTTGACGGCAAACCGCTAATCACTGCGCCACAGACGATTATCTTAAGGGTGTATATTTTAAAAATGTGTTAACTATGTAGGCGTTTTCAAAAGCAACTGAAGCGATCTGTAGACAGTAATGCAATACACGTTATAAGCTTGTTTGTTGGGTGCTAAATACTAGTAGTTACGCCATTATTTAAAGTTCAGATTTGCGCACACCAACACTTTGTACATTGAAAAATGTCTGTGGTGTAGCGACTGGTCTTTTCGTCGTTGTACGCAGAAGATGTGAATATTGTGTTTTTGAATCTCGAGTGGGTAGGGCATTGATTTAATCTAGAATGTCTGTCTGTCTGCAAGAATAGTGCATATTATTATGTTTAAATCCAGGTTGGCCCTGATAGGCAGGGCCGAATCAGTCCACCCTGATATGACCTATTGTGGAAAAGATGTAAAAAATGTAGCTCCCCTATCAATAGTTAGTTATTTAAGAGAATGAAACATTCGAATTTAACGTCCACCTCCGAAAGGACCGAGCTGAACGGGAAATTCGAGTAAAGTGCCTTTCCTAATACTGGGTTGGGTCGGGTCGGGTCAAGTCGGTTTTCTAGCTAGGTTGAGGGCGCAAAGCGGCTGTCGTGACACAAACCGATTGCCCGATTCGTTACCTCAAAAATCGAACGCGTTTGTTTTTCAGGCGACGAGTCGGGCAATCGACTGGCCGGACCTGATCCCATCCGCAATGGGCACTCGGTGAAAGGGCACAAAGTCGAACCGAGCTGAGACTCGAACCCCCGAACCCACAATCTGACGATTACGAGTCCGGTAGCCCTACAACTAAGCCACCGGCGCCACCGACCTATAGTGTGTCGGTGGAGGTATGACATAAGCCACCAGCGCCACTGATTTATAATGTGTCAATGGAAGTAACACATGTGCAATAACAGTAACACTTGCACCTACCTACATTCTCGTTGTATTATTATGTTCCAGCGATCATAGGTACATACTGTCGAAACTTTCTAAATGGCCATCCAGTTTTAGATTTTTTTTAAAGTGGTTGTCATCGATCGGTATTCGTCTTGAACAGTGTCATTATACATGTAATATAAAATAGAGACTGGGAGTATGGGAAAAGGCTGTTTGTGTGGGTAATTATTTATGGCAGTTGGGCGTTAGAGCCGGTTCAACTGTGTGTGAGAACCATTATGGATTTTGTCGTTTGTTTTCGTTGCTGCAACAGGGGAAGTGACAGAATCTGAAACAACAATAGTGCAGCAATAACACCATCGGTATAGCTCATCCAACGTTTAACTGATCCGATTTCTATCAAACTTTTACCAATCATCTTGTATCAAATTGTCTTACATACTTACTTTACTTTTTTCTTCCGCTTGTACCCTGGGGTGTCGCGGGGAGACACAGGTGTCTGTCTGCAGCAAGTCGTGTGGCCTGTAGGAGGGACATCCCATGATCTTTAAGGGTGTCTGCCACAGATTCACTCCATCGTCGCCTTGGTCTTCCTCTGGCTCTCCATCCAGAATATTTAATGTTGGATGGTTTGAGGGCATCCGCGTGAGGTGTCCGAACCACTTGACCTTTTGTTTTTCAATGTGTGGTAGGACTGGTGTTGCTCCCACGGTGTCCCTTATGACTTCATTTTTAATTGTGTCTTTTCTTGTTTTGTTGACCGCTGTTCTTAAGCATTTCATCTCGCATGTGACCAGTTTCCTCTCTAGGGCTTTTGTTAGAGTCCATGTCTGGCACTGGTATGTGAGCGTTGGAAGGAAAATGGCGTTGATGAGCTTCGCCTTGGTGCTCATTGGGGATATTGGGATGTTTCAGGAGAGGGCCCAGTTGGTAGCTGACTGCGTTGGCTCTCTGGCATCTAGTCTCTATCTCTCGATCAAATTTTCCATTTTCTGTGAAAATACTGCCCAAGTATTTGAATTCTCTGCTTTGTTTTAGTTGGGATCCATTGATGTTGATATCCACTTAACCTGGTCTCCTGCTAATTGTCATGACTTCGGTCTTGCTTATACTGATCTTCATGTCATATTTTTCGCAGCTCGCATTGAGTTGGTTTATATGCTCCTGTAGCCGAGTCTTGTTGTTAATCATTGCCAGGTCGTCTGCAAACATGAGTTCGTTGAGTGCCTCTGGGTCTGGATTGGCCTCTTTTGTTATCTGGTCCATGTAGATCACGAAGAGCAGAGGGGAGAGATTGCAGCCCTGTCTCACTCCGGATGTTACTGGAAACCAGTCCGATGTTCCACTGGTAGTTCGGACAGCGCTTCTGCTGTTGGCATAGATAGCCCTGATGTTGTCTAGCAGTTGTCCCTTGATGTCGTACTGCTCTAAGATCGTCCATAGCTTGTTTCTATTTACTCGATCAAAGGCTTTTTCTTGATCCACAAATACGAGGTGGAGATCTTTGTCGTATTCCAAAGCCCTCTCACACAGTTGTCGGAGTGCGAAGATTGCATCAGTGCAGCCTCTTCCTTTTCTAAAATCAAATTGGGCGTCACTGAGAAGATGTTTGGTTTTTGCGCGAGTACGTCGCTCTAGGATTTTTGCATACATTTTCCCCACATGGTTGAGAAGAGATATGCCTCTATAGGTGTTGCAGTCTTTCTTGCTGCCCTTTTTCTTCCATATTGGCACCACTATCGTATTTTGCCAGTCTGCTGGCACTTTTCTTTCTTTCCTTCCAGGCTTTTTGGAAGATGATTGTAAGCCAATGTATTCCGGTTTTGCCGCATGCAAGGATGGCTTCGGTTGTGATGCCATCGTCTCCAGCTGCCTTGTTCTTTGGACTAGTTTTCAGTGCTTCTCTCACTTCACTCTCCAGGATGGTAGGTTCTGAGTGCTCAGGGTAGTTGGCGGTGAAGGGGCACTGTGTGTTTTGTGCCTGTACTCCTGATGGGTTTAGTAGTTCTTGAAAATATTCTTCCCATCTTTTTATTATTTCTTTCTCTTCGTGCAGAGCTTCTCCATTAGTATCGTTGATGACAGTGGTGGGTACATAGGGTTCGTCTCTCATTCTCATTGTCTTTACCTTCTTGTAGAACTCTCTTGGTGAGGTCTTGCAGGTTTCACTTAGTTTTTCGCCATACTGGGTCCATGACTTTTCTTTTGATGTTATAACGACTTTCTTACTGAGTCTTCTTGCAAGTCTATATTTAATGTAGTCCTCTTCGTTTTTTGACTTGACCCATACATTATACAGTCTCTTTTTTTCCTTGATAGCATCTTTAACTTCTTCGTTCCCCCAGGCTGTTGCTTTTCTGTGTTTTCCTCTTGTTTTCTTGGTACCACAGACTTCTTTCATTGTGTCCAGGAGAGTTGTTTTGAAGGTATCCCATGCTTCCTCTACGGTTAGTCTTGTAGAGTTGATAGAGTCTAGTTTTTCATTTAACGTGCTTCTGATCTGAGCCTGCACCTGATCATCTCCAAGTTTATGCATATTTAGTCTCTCTTGCTGTCTTTTATGTTTTTTTGGTTTTCTTTCTTTCTTGGTGGTCAACGTTGTGATGATTTGACTTACATAAATGTAATTAATTGGTTTTGGCTCAAATCTCAATAATCAAAAAAAAAATCTTCATCTTTTGTTAATTAACGATTCATGATTAAAGTTTAGTCTAAGCAAATGATGACTTACAGTACATCAAAGTTCACAATAACTTTTCTCGTCATACTCTGTATTTTAACGGTATAAGATTACATTTAATTATTTTTTTTACAGTTGAAAATATGTTCCAGGACTGTTTATTTTCTGCGTCAGATGAGCACGTAGACATTGGCTAACCGTACAGGGGGCGGGGAGGGGGGTGTCCTTTCATATCTACCTATAATGTTGAAAAACGAATATTGCTTGAAAAGACATAAAATTATAAGGATTGTTAGAGATCTATACTTAAAGTCTACCGACCTCAATGTAAACGGAATCCAAAATTATCACAAAAAGTATTTCAATATTTTTGTTTTGAACGAGCTATAGTATAAGCAATACCTCTTGCTTTAGCTTCGACCCCTTTAGTTTAGTTTTTGTAAGGTTTTACGGCGCTCGCAACTGCAAAAGGTCATATGAGTTCCAAGGGGTGGATATCAACAGAGAAGTCCAAACAGGAAATAAGGCTTACTCTTCTCACCTCTCTAGTCTCAACAGCACAAAGTCTGCTTCAACTATCAAGGCACCCCGGAAATAGCAGGTCACAAGAGAGTGACAAACATACAAAAGAAGTAGAGGAAAAATGACGATAGACCTAGTAAGGATGAGGAAAGAAAAAGCAGCACTTCCCTCTATGTTGTTCCGGCACAGTATGAGCATGACATTGATAAATCCGCCCGTTATAATTCTACTGTGCTTAAAGAACATGTTAATATCCCTCCGTTGGGAATGGCTTAAAGACACTTCAGTCAATAGCACTGCCCGGGGGGGGGGGGTGCTCCGACGCTTGCCACAAAACAGTATCCAATTAGTGTGTAGTAAGGCAAATACCGCCGATTTGTAGAGACAGTTTTGTCAAAGACTCAGAGCAAAACCTAATCCACGAGTAAATAATCCATGATTAATCGTCCTAACTTCAGTTAATGGCCTCGCGTGAACGGAAAAGAGCTTAGTTAACCACCTGCCTAATGGTACTTAATGCGCTACATTTGAACTAACGAGTATTCAGAAAGACAAAGAGATCGACGTAATAATTATTACTGATCCACAAGGCATTTGAGTCGACTAACTGTTGCGTATTCTTGCTCGGAGTAACTATCGTAATGTAAAGATCGGTAGTTCCTGAACAGTGATCATCGTTATGTGACATTCCCACTTCGGACTTGTCAAAAATTAAGAGAAAAAACAAAAACCACGCACATACAAACCCTGCAAAAGTAATAAAATGGTAATAGTAATAATCTTATTGATCGTGTTTCGTTTATGAGCCGCAATAATTCAATTTTTCCGAGCCTTTGAGTAGTTTGTTTGCTGCACGGATGCCGAACGGCGGAATGAATCACATTATTATACTTTAATATCAACGCATGGATCGATCGCTTATTGCGCTCGTAAGCAAAGGGGCAGGTTTGTGATGTGAGCTGTGTTGAAATTGTTCTTATGGAAGGAAGTGTGTGCATGATTGGAGGAGGAATTTATTGAAAATGCCGAAGGTTCCAGTAAAGTTGACTCAAGCCTTCATGGTTGCGAGTCCGAGATGTCGCGAAGAGTCATCGTGTGATTGTCACAACGAGGTGGGATTTTCCTGTTGGTGTGTGTGTGTGTGTGTGTGTGTGTGTGTGTGTGTGTGTGTGTGTGTGTG